GTGTGTGTGTGTGTGTGTGTCTGTTTGTGTGTGTGTGTGAGGGGGGAGGGAGATAGGGGATGGGTGTATGTGTGCCTTGTAAGTGCCGTAAAACTCGTAAAACTCGTACTCAAACTAAATCACACCTAATTGTGTTGCTAGTGCTGTAAAACTCTCACTGAACCGGAACATCTATCGTCCTTGTCTCTCCGCCCGCAATCTTTTTGTTATGTTATGTGGCTCTCTTATCTTCGCCACTTACATGACCGTGGGTGGTTGGCGGGTGCTCTGGTGTGGCTTGCTCCTTCTTTCCTATCAAACATCTATCGTCCTTATCTCCCCTCCTTTTTTGTGTGTGTTTGTTACTCTCTTGTAACACCTCTAATCTTCTGGCGCTCATATGACCTTATGCAGTTGCGAGCGCCGTAAAACCTCTACTAAGACAAACAAATCTCCTCCTTTTTTTGTGCATTTGCTACTCTCTTGTAACACCTCTAATCTTCGGCACTTATATGACCTTATTGTGTTGCAAGTGCTGTAAAACTCCGAGTAAAACTAAAAAAACAACTTACGTAACCTATTTTGTGTTGCAAATGCTGTAAAACTCATACTAAAACTTTTTTAAAAACTTACGTGACCTATATTGTGTTGCAAATGCTGTAAAACTCTCACTAAAACTAAAAAAAACTTATGTGACCTATTTTGTGTTGCAAATGCTGTAAAACTCTCACTGAAACGATCCTGTCTTTTGTCTAGTCGCCGCAGACGTGGGAACCTCTGTGGACCTGGCACTGCCCAGCACGGAACAGGAAGTTGCATCCCGCGGAGAGCAGGTCAGTGCTGTGGACGGTTTTGGTGGGTGGGTGGTCGGTGGGTGGGTGGGTCGGTCGGTGTTCCGATGTAGTTGGCACCTTCTCATTAAAAAAAACCTTTTTTTTTTAGGGGATTATTTTTGTTTTTGTTTTTTGGGTGGGATTATTTTTTTAAAATAATTTTTTTTTGTTTTGGGAAATGTGGGTGAGCGTTGTTTTCACACTCTCCAGACTCAGTCTTTGTCTGTGTCTCTGTCTTTCCCCCTCTCTCTCTCTCTCTCTCTCTGTCTTTCTTTCTCTCTCTCTCCTTCTTTTTTCTCTCTTTCTTTTTCTCTCTCTCTTTCTTTTTCTCTATCTCCGGCTCTCTCTGGCTCTCTCCGGCTCTCTCTCTCTATCTGGAGTGCAAAATTTCCTATTCACATATGCTTGCTTGATACAAGTAGTAGGCTATTTATAGCTCTCTTTTTCTTTCTCTCTCTCTCTCTCTCTCTCTCTCTCTCTCTCTCTCTCTCTCTCTCTCTTTCTCTCTCATATTTTTTCTCCATCCCTCTTATTTTTTTTTCTCTCTCCCTTTCTTTGTGTGAAGCACAGAATCTGAAATACTCAAATTATGCCTGCTTGATATATATATATATATATAGTATATTATTAGCACTAACCCAAAGTTATGAGGTCTTTTTTGGAGCTTTGTGTTCAAAGCTACTGACCTAACCTTTGATCTTTTTCATTTTATCTTTTGTGCTAAATTATACGGGCTCCGACCTGATTTTACTCAGTCGGAGCTCAAAATGTTCTGGTTTGGTATTAACGAGGTACATTGGCTCGCCTTGTTCTGTGGTGGAGCGGTAGCGTGTCTTGACTTGCAACCGTAAAGTTGTGAGTTCGATTCCCGCCCTGGTCGAGTTGGGCGTTGGGTTGGGAGAGAGGGCCTTCACCCTTATTGTGCGATCGCATGACCTTGTAGTGCTAGAAATAAAAACATAATTTGTGTAACGACGCGATGGAAGCGGACGCTCGTCAAAATTTTGAAATTTAAGAGACGCAATATTTTTCTTTTTTTTTGTGGTGCAATTGCAATTTTTTTCATATTTTTAAAATTTTCACAGCACGGGCAATGTTCTTTTGAAAACGCATTTCTGTGTTGTTTTTATTGAAAAATCTTGATCAAAGGCATAGAAAATGTAAATTTGCAGTTTTCAAGGACGCTCAAGCTTTGTTAGTCACCTAACTTGAAGGGGTTGATTTATTTCGGTGATTTTACCGCTGACGCCAGCCGACCGCCCCACCTCCTTCAATCGCAAATATCTGGACTTTTATTTAAGATAGATGGGTGCTCTTTTTAAAGTTAAAAAAAAAAAAATTAAAATCAAGTCAAATGAACAGGCTTTAAGATGATGCCGATCGCCCCGTATGCCTCAAAGCTGACGAGCGTCTGATTCCATCTCGTCGCGACACCTTACAACTTTTTCTTTTTCTTTTCTTTTTTTTTTTTTGTTTTTGTTTTTGAAAAAAAATTATTTATTTATTTTTGTAAATTTGGACATATTGTTGGAATAAAGACTGTTCTGCCCAGGTTTTAACACTTGTCATTAGAGGTGTATATGTCTTGTGCTAACTTCCGCAGAGAAAAAAGATTTCATATTTTGGCGTTATTTCTGATTCTGATGTCGTAGCATTCGTTTATGTCCTTGGAATTTTCGTTGGAATTATCGTTAAGTTTGGAATGTGATATCAATACGACACCCCC